AGAGGAAAGACAGTTGCCATGAACTGGCTTTTGTTCAGGTTGTTGAAGGAATGTTTAATTGTGAACATCTCCACATTTAATGGAATTATTTAAGACCCTGGTTTTTGTTCATTGCAGTAAACACCAGCAGGGTAGCAGCTGGGCTTTCAGGAGGGTGCATCCATGTGAAGTTTGGGATCTTTAGACTCTTCTCAAGGGTGTCCAGGGACAGGACAAGGGGCAATGGGCACAAACTGGAGCCCAGGAGGTTGAAGCTGGAGATGAGGAAACCCTTCTTGAGTGTGAGGGTCCCAGAGCCCTGGGCCAGGCTGCCCAGGGAGGCTGTGGAGTCTCCATCCCTGCAGACATTCCAGCCCCACCTGGCTGTGTTCCTGTGGGATCTGCTCTAGGGGATCCTGCTCTGGCAGGGGTTGGACTGGGTGATCTCCAGAGCTCCCTGCCAACCCCACCACTCTGTGGTTCTGTGATCCTCAGCTACAGGCAGTTTCTGGTCCTAGTTAGGAACTGGGCAACGGGAAGCTTAAATTTATCAGCATCAAGCCATGTCCCTGCAGCATTTCCAGCTCCTCTCCAGTGCCTCATCTCATCTCACACCTGAATTCACATGTCCAGTTTCTTTGACCTGTTGTCTGGCTGTGCCAGTTTGTCCATCAGCCAAAGCTAAGTGCCTGGGTGGCCTGCCAGGTTTCCATGTCTCCATTTCCCCCCCTGGGCTGGCAAGCCAGGCAGGGCCTGTCTCAGCCAGCTGGCAAGCTAAAGGAGTGGCTTTGAAGCCAAACTGGACAGACCCCCAGTCTGCACTGTGCTTGCAACTTGGGATTTGCCCAGTCCCTGACTGTAGGTGGGTGACATGAATGTCCTGACTCTCAGTATTTGGTGTGCAGGCTCTTGTCGTCTCCTTGGTACTGTTGTCCTAATGCAGTCAGTTGTTTTGGGTAATGGTGTGTGCTTGTCAGGGAATGCTGGTCATTGGACATGGGGGGGTCTGACCCCAGCTGGCAGCTAAGCCCTTGTGCAGCTGCTCAGTGGGATGGGGGAGAGAGTTGGAAGGGTAAATGTGAAAACACTCATGGGTTATGATGAAGACAGTTGAATAGGTAAAGCAAAAGCTGCACAGACAAGCAAAGCACCCAGGGAATTCATTCACTTTCCCATCAGCAGGCAGGGGTTTGTGCAGCCTGGAGAAGAGAAGGCTCCAGGGAGACCTTAGAGCACCTTCCAGTGCCTGAAGGGGCTCCAGGAAAGCTGGGGAGGGGCTTGGGACAAGGGCAGGGAGGGAGAGGACAAGGGGGGATGGATGAAAACTGGAGGAGGGAAGATTGAGGTGAGACATGAGGAGGAAATTGTGGAGTGTGAGGGTGGTGAGAGCCTGGCCCAGGTTGCCCAGGGAAGCTGTGGCTGCCCCATCCCTGGCAGTGTTGAAGGGCAGGTTGGATGGGGCTTGGAGCAGCCTGGGCTGGTGGGAGGGGTCCCTGCCCATGCAGGGGGTTGGAACTGGATGGTCTTGAAGGGCCCTTCCAACCCAAACCATTCTGTGATTCTATGATGTTCATCTCCATGACAGCAGGGAGATGTCCTCCATCACACCTAACAGTTACGTGGGAAGACAAACTCCATCCCAGATGTCTCCCCTTCCTTCTTCTTCCTCCAGCTCTGGATGCTGAGCATGATGTTATACAACATGGAATATCCCTTTGGTCAGTTGGGGTTGGCTGCCCCAGCTGTGTTGCCTCCCAATTTCTTGTGCAAGCCCAGCTGGTGGGAAGGTGTGAGGAGCCGGAAAGTCCTTGACTTGCTGCTCTCCTCAGCAATAACCTGAGTTATCAACACTGAATTCCCCACACTGTTGATGTATCCCTGACTTATCAACACTGCTTTCAGCACAAATCCAAAACACAGCCTCATTGCAGGCACTAGGAAGAAGATTAACTCCATCCCAGCCAAAACTAGCACTGGGTATCAGGGCAGGAATTGATGTGAGCTCTGTTTGAAATTCCTACGTGTGTTTTACATGAAGAGCTTTGCTTTGTAGCTTGTAGAAAGCAATTACACAACTAATTGGGGATTGATTGATTGATTGATTGATTATCCTCAGGTGTGTCATCCCTTTGGACACATTTACAAAAAGGGGAGATTAAAACATGAAGAAATAGGTTATGATTTAGCCTGGCTTGATTTGCTCACTGAAGATGAAGGAAGGCTGATAAAGAGTGTATAGAACCATGTACATCTCAATCATACAGTGTCACCTGCTCTGGGGGCATTTTGACATTAAAACAAAGGGCTGTAGGTATTTATTGAAATAAATTAATTTACCTAATTGCCTTCAGAATGTACACAGGTTTGAAGAGAAGTATATACTAGCTTTTATTTTTGTTGGCAGAGTTTCTGATGAGTGACAGTCCATGTAAAGACTCTAGTGTTGCAACTCCCCTCTCAGCTAGTACAACTGGTGAGATGTGTAAAACCAACAACAACCCACAGGAAAAACAGCTGAAGTTTAAAAGAGTCTAAGAGTGGGTTGAGGGAGCTGGGGGTGCTCAGCCTGGAGAAGAGGAGACTCAGGGGGGACCTTCTCACCCTCTTCAACCACCTGAAGGGAGGTTTAGTCAGGTGGGGTTGGGCTCTTTTTCCAGGCAACCAGCAACAAGACAAGAGGGCCTAGCCTCAAACTGCTCCAGGGGAGGTGTAGGTTGGATATCAGGAAGCACTTCCTCATGGAAAGGGTGACCAGACCTTGGGATGGGCTGCCCAGGGAAGTGGTGGAGGCACCATCCCTGGAGGTGCTCAAGGAAAGGCTGGAGGTGGCACTGAGTGCCCTGGTCTGGAGATGTGGGGGTGTTGGTCACAGGCTGGGCTGGATGATCTCAGAGGTTTTTTCCTGCCTCAATAATCCTGTGGTTCTGTGATTCTGTAATTGTGAACTTTTGCCAGCTAAAAACAGCCTGTACTTCATGACAGGTACCAAATACATATGGTTGTTTAAGAGTGCAAATATCCTGGGAGAAACTGAGACTCCTAGCTGACATTCCTACATTATCAAACTCCTTTCACACGCTTGAAAAGGCTTCTAAGCAGCTGATTAAAGGTATTAAAAAGAATAAAAGACACTGTAACGAAGCAGAACCGAAGGGTAAGAAGGAGGAAACTTGTCCATGAACACACAGCCTTGCCAAGTGTAATAAGCTTCAAAAGCCAAACTGCAAATCAAGTCAGTCCTATCTTTAGCCTCCCAAAGGGTGCTGCCAATATGCTTAGGTCAGAGGACAGAACATTCCAGGGGTTGCAAGCCCTCCAGAAAAACTCCTGCCTTCTGCCCTTTTGTGATGTAGAATAGAAACCCATCTGGGGGGGGGTAGGTACTTACATGGGTCTCTGTTACAGAGACCAGAGTAAAAATGCTTGATGAAGATCCTAGTGAGGGAGGGGTCCTCTCATCTTGACACAAGGGGCACCATTATCAAGCTGCTTGTGTAAGATGAACAGCAGTATTTCAAGACCAAATGCATGTGCTGCTGATGCTCTCTGTGCCAGGATGCCTTCAGACTGCCTGCTTTCACTAGGGTTTGGGATTTTTAAAACAATCCAGCTGAAAAAAAGCCCAAAGCAGTGAAAAGTGCTGCTGCTTTCTCTAGTCACAGTCTGGCACTGGCTGCAAAGTTTGGTCTTCAGACACACCTGGACCTCACAGGTGCAGTAACTGAAGATCAGGGAGGGAGGGAAATGTGAGACTGAGCAGGTTCCACTGTTTCCAGAATTAAAAGTGCACATTTCATCAGTCACAGTTACTTTTCCATTAATCTTGATTCTAAATTGTAATTACTGTGAAATAGAGAAAGATACATGGGCTTTAGCAGCAATAACTCAGTATATTTCAAATCACTGTTTAATCATGTGTCCAAGTAATATTATTTTCCTTTGAATCTTACATAAAGATAATTGATTCTACCTACCTGCTGTGCTTAAAAATTCAAGGTGTCTCACCTGAATTAAACAGAGAAGTCTCATCTTGATCAGACAGTCTGATTATAAACCTAGTGACCTAACTGACTAGTTTCATGTGGTGGTACATAGAGTCACCTTCCTTTAAAACTCACTGATACCAGTAGCATAAGCTGGAGTGATTTGCTGGTTGGACATCTCAGTGGAGCTGCTGCCTACATGTAAGGACTGCAGAGTGTGTCTGGCTGAGACTGTAAAGGTGAAAACCTGTACCTCGAGACAGAGAGTAATTGTTTTAGTACCAGAAGGACTGTGAAATGGAGTTGGTAAATGTTGTTAGATACTTCTGAGCTAAAGAATGGTGTTTATAGCTGTGGTGAGCAAGCAGGCTGTAAGAGTTTGGGTTTGCTCAGCCTGGAGGAGAGAAGGCTCCAGGGAGACCTTAGAGCACCTTCCAGGGCCTGAAGGGGCTCCAGGAAAGCTGGGGAGGGGCTTGGGACAAGGGCAGGGAGGGAGAGGACAAGGGGGAATGGATGAAAAGTGGAGGAGGGGAGATTGAGGTGAGACATGAGGAGGGAATTGTGGAGTGTGAGGGTGGTGAGAGCCTGGCCCAGGTTGCCCAGGGAAGCTGTGGCTGCCCCATCCCTGGCAGTGTTGAAGGGCAGGTTGGATGGGGCTTGGAGCAACCTGGGCTTGTGGGAGGTGTCCCTGCCCATGCAGGGGGTTGGGACTGGGTGGTCTTGGAGGTCCCTTCCAACCCAAACCATTCTGTGATTCTGTGAGCTGCTTTGCAGATGCAGAGCTCTGTTATCTATCCAGGTGAGCAGAAATGTCCCATGTAGGTAAAGAGAGGACAACATGCTAGAAGCTCCCCAGCAGCTGCCACAGAACCCAACAGTCTCTTGCCATGGCAGCCACTGCTGGATGAGTTGATATTTCCTGTCAAATCCATCTAGTAGCCACGCTGGACATTGATATTCTAACCAGCATTAGCCCATTGCAGATTAACCAGAGAAACTACCTTGGGTGGGTGTTTTAATGTCCCCCTGGCCTTGCAGTGTCCCTGCAGGACATCACCATGAGGAAGGCTTTCCGGAGCTCCACCGTTCAGGACCAGCAGCTGTTCGACCGCAAAACGCTGCCCATTCCTCTGCAGGAGACTTATGACATTTGTGAGCAGCCTCCTCCCCTCAACATCCTCACCCCTTACAGGTGAGTGAAAGAAAACTCATCCAACAGAATTACTAACTTGTCCTGTGTGACTGAGATGCCCCATCCGTGCTCACCTGGAGCAGCACGTGGGTGTTTAAGGGGCCACCGCTGATACCTGTGGAGCTGCTGCAGGAGCACAGGCAGCACAAGACATGATGAGCACTAAAACACTCCCCTGCTTCACTCAAATTTCACCCCAGTGTAAAGATGGTAAGAAAAAGCCATTTTGTTATCTGTGTTTATTCAACTGTTTCTGCTCTTGGGTGCCAAGTGAAGGAAAGAAGCAGCCAAGCATGGAGAAGGAAAGGTCTGTAATGGACACGAAGGGTCCCCAAGTCAGTGGTTTGAATATGAGCAGCCACACATTGTTTTGAGCTCATTGTTTGGAGAAAAAAATAAGAGTCATTGGAAAGGAAGTTCTCTGATTTATGAGGCTCTGGAAAGGGAGTTCTCTGATTTATGAGACTCTTTTTTTATCTATAGCTTAAAGTTACTTTTCTAAAATCAGGACCTTGGATGCAAGGAAAGATAGTGAAGAATGATGGCACAGGAGGTCAATGTTAATCTTTTTAATGTTCTCCAGTAAAATATTTCAGGCTCTGAGATACTAAGTATTCCTTAATATGCCTTTCTTCTGTCTTTATGTCTGGATTCCTGTCTTGTCAAATAAATGATGTGCCCTGTGTGTCACTGTGTTTCAGGGATGATGGAAAAGAGGGCTTGAAGTTTTATACCAATCCTTCATACTTCTTTGATCTGTGGAAGGAAAAGATGTTGCAGGACACAGAGGACAAAAGAAAAGAAAAGAGGAAGCAGAAGGTATTTCTGTTTGTTTTGTCTGGCTTCTAGGGGATTGTTCCTGGAAAGGCTTGGCTTCACTTCACTTCACTTCACTTCACTTCACTTCACTTCACTTTACAAAGAGGGTACTTTTGTTTATACAATTCATAACAATCCGAACTTTGCAGAGTCACCTTCATTCAGTTAAAGCTACTTGTATCCATCAATCCCATCAACTTTTACAAACAAATATTTAATCAAAATAAAAATAGTCATTATTGTATCAGTGTAGAAGGGCCAACCTAATGTGAGTAACAGCAGGTTTGTCTGAGTCTTCCAGCAGTGACTCAAAAAGGAGGAATGCAGCAAGAATAAAGAATTTTACTGGGACAGGATTTTATTTTCTGACCATCTTACAGGTGAAGAAACTTGAGTGACATTCAATTAGTGGTGCTTGCTCTAAACTAGAAAGAAATGAGTTGGGATAGAGCATTTTCTTCACATTTGCTTGAACACTTGTGCAAAGGTTGTGCTGCTTGTTTGTTTCACCATTATTCTGTGTATTTCATACAGAGAGGCAGTAAATGTAAGTGTCAGCTTCATCATTTTATCTCAGACTTAGAATAAAAAGCAGCTTGCACTGTTGTTATTCTCTGTATTTAGCTTATTATCCACTAGACTGAAGTTTCTGCCTCCTCCAAGTCTTTGGTTCAGGCGTCATATTTAGACTGCAAGTAAATCCTCCTTGCACTTGTGTTTGATTTTCATTATTTTATGGCTGATGTTGAAATGCAACGAACTAGAGAAGCACTTAGCTGTCAGTTTTGTTTCCACAACTCTCCCTACAGCAGAAAAATCTGGATCGCCCTCATGAACCAGAAAAAGTGCCCCGGGCACCTCACGACAGACGGAGAGAGTGGCAGAAGTTAGCCCAGGGCCCAGAGCTGGCAGAAGACGATGCCAACCTCCTACATAAGCACATTGAAGTTGCTAATGGCCCAGCTTCACATTTTGAATCCAGGTTTGTGTTTCTTCTTTTTTCTCTAATCCTGTGTTAGGTATGTGCTGAGTTCGTGCTACACGGTGAACACCTCGAGAGGTGGGGAATTGTGAGATGCTGCAGCTGCTCTGGAAGTGCACTGGAAATTGGTGGTTGAGATCCAGCAAAACTTGGTTGTAATACACTTGGTCAGCATGTCCTTAAAGGAATAGTTATTGTTATTTTTAAGAGTAGTCTGTGCCCTTGGAATTCATTGTATCCTTGAGGAGGAGAAGCCCAACATGAGCTGGAGACCAGAACCCACCCGTGTCCTGGGCTGTGTCACCAGCAGTGTGGGCAGCAGGGCCAGGGAGGGGATTGTCCCCTCTGCTCTGCTCTGCTGAGACACCACTTGGAGAGCTGTGGCCAGTTCTGGAGCCCCCAGCACAGGAAGGACATGGAGCTGTTGGAGAGAGTCCAGAGGAGGCCACAGAGATGATCCTTGGGCTGGAGCAGCTCTGCTCTGGAGCCAGGCTGGGAGAGTTGGGGTGTTCAGCCTGGAGAAGAGAAGGCTCCAGGGAGACCTTAGAGCAGCTTCCAGTGCCTGAAGGGGCTCCAGGAAAGCTGGGGAGGGGCTTGGGACAAGGGCAGGAAGGGAGAGGACAAGGGGGAATGGATGAAAAGTGGAGGAGGGGAGATTGAGGTGAGAGATGAGGAGGGAATTGTGGAGTGTGAGGGTGGTGAGAGCCTGGCCCAGGTTGCCCAGGGAAGCTGTGGCTGCCCCATTCCTGGCAGTGTTGAAGGGCAGGTTGGATGGGGCTTGGAGCAACCTGGGCTGGTGGGAGGTGTCCCTGCCCATGCAGGGGTTGGAACTGGATGGGCTTGAAGGTCCCTTCCAACCCAAACATTCCATGATGTTCTATGATGGGTTGCTGTCTGCAGCATGAAGGAGCTGCAGAGTCACTGGTGCCCTCTGGCTCCCAGGTGTGTCACTACATTCCGGTCCTGACCTACAAAATCCCCATTATTCCAGTCTCTTGGTTTTCCCTCAGCAGACACTGCCAGGACTGTCTGTTGGGTGTGATGTGAACAAACATCCACTTGGTACTCAGAGGAGATCACTGAGCTTCTCTTCACTCTTGAGCAAACCCAAGATTTGATTGACATTTCTGGTTATAGTCTATTACAAACTCTAACCTGTTGGACTCTCATGTCACAGCAGGTATTTGCTGGTGGCTAAAAGGAGCATTTCACTTGGTTAACACCTGCTGTGTTTGTGCATCTGGAGCTTGTGCAAAACCAGCTTGAGAAGCTTCTGCTAGGAAGGAGGGCTGACAATTCATATTGGGAATTTTGGTGCTGTGCTTGTGGGGGGTTGGTGTTTTGGGGTAGTTTGTCTTTTAATTAAAAAGCAGTCCTCCAAAAAACAGTGAAGTTGTTTCCTCTACCCCTCACCAGCTAAAAGCACTGTAGGAGAGTGTCAGGTTCAGCCTTGTAAGCCCTTCAAATAAACTTATACCCACAGTGAGTGATAATAACAGCTCTAGGAGACAGTAATTCCTCTCTGAAAACTGGGAAGTGCTGCTTGTGGAAAAGTTGGCTCCCTGAATTTAGGAAGTAAAAATGGTCTCAGTGCATTTCAGTCAGTGGGATACAACTCCAGTCGTGGTCATTAGCCTTTTCCTGGGAACAACTTGATGGTGTCTTGTCTGTGTAACCTGCTGGGTCAAGTCAAAAGCATCTGCTTTCCTGCTGCCCCTCTGCTGTGTTGTCCATCAGAGCCCCCATGGGACACACTTGTTGCAGGACTCCTTTTGTATCCAGGACCCTGCCTTAAAGCTTGGTTGTCTCAGCAGTGCAGGATGTGATGGGTGATGCTGCAGTGTCTGGGGACACTCCATCAGCAGAGCATGTTGTTCAGACACAGAACAGCACCCTGCTCTTGAATAACAGAGTAAGACCTCACCCCTGGAGCATTTAATAGGTTAAATGCTACAGGGGTGACAGCAGATCCTGGGATTATCCTCCTCAGATCTGCTGCCTGGCTGCCCTATTGGAGTGTAGATCACCTGCCACAAGTTCACCTTCACTGTTCAGTTGTAAGGTCTCCTGTTCCAACACCCACGGATGGTTCATGGATGTTGTAGAAGAAGATTGTCACATATGTGTAGGAACTGAGGAACAGAAGCAGTTACTGGGTGTCATGCCCCTCCTCACACCCTCTGCTGCAGGTGTCCTGCTGGGTGTTGCTGCATTTACTTACAGTCCTGGGGCTAAGAAGCACTGAGATCACACACTTGCTGGAGGAGTTGTCTGATTTCCTGCCGAAGGCATGGAACCCTCCAGCTGCTAGAAGGAATGGCCTGGCCAGTGAGAGAGATGGTTACAAAGCCATGAAGTACAACCTGCAGCTTGGGGGCTGCGTGGGTTCAGAAACCAAACTGAAGCAGAGGACGTGAGCTGAGGGCACAGAGACTTCACTGAAGCTGATGTTGGATCATTTCTTTGCTCTTTCCCCTACAGATCTCAGGCATACGTGGACCATCTGGATGGATCCTACTCCCTTTCTGCATTGCCCTACAGCCAGATGTCTGAGCTGCTGAACAGGGCTGAGGAGCGAGTGCTGGTCAGGCCACATGAACCACCTCCACCACCACCTCCAATGCACGCAGCAGATGTGAAACCTGGGCCTCCTTGTGTTAGGTACAGAAAGCTGGAGCCACGTGCAGGTTTACTGGGGAGTTTTGGCTTCCCACCATCCCCCCAGGAGTGCATTAGTGGTATTTCCATGCAGCTCAGGCAGTACCATGTCCTAGGGACTGTCAGGCCACAGCCCTGACGTGTCTGCAGCTGCAGAGATAAACCCCATAGGATGCCATTATGGAGACAGGCCTCACCTTGCCATCAGTAGGGCAGGTTGGATGGGGCTTGGAGCAACCTGGGCTGGTGGGAGGTGTCCCTGCCCATGCAGGGGGGTGGGACTGGATGGTCTTGAAGGTCCCTTCCAACCCAACCCATTCCATGATTCTATAAGAGGTATGAAAACCTTGAAATCACCGTAGTACGTAATGCTCTTTATGCCCAGCATTCAGTATTCTGAAGTTGCAGAAATTAACCTGCTGCTGTTTTTTTCCACTCTCCAGCTCTAATAACTTTGCCCTGTTGTTGGATATTTCAGTTCTACGACCGGCTTGGTAGAAACCCGTCCTCAGTCACCAGCAACGGGCAGAACCCCAGTGTTTGTGAGCCCCACTCCTCCTCCTCCACCACCACCACCTCTTCCATCTGCTTTGTCAACTTCCTCTCTAAGAGCTGCGATGACTTCCACTCCTCCACCCCCAGTCCCACCACCTCCACCTCCTCCCACAGCTGCTCTGCAGGCCCCGGCTGTGCCACCTCCTCCAGCTCCTCTCCAGATAGCTCCTGGAGTCCTACACCCAGCTCCACCTCCGATTGCTCCTCCCCTAGCACAGCCCTCTCCCCCTGTCACTAGAGCTGCCCAGGTGTGTGAAGCTGTACCTGTTCACCCAGTTCCTCCACAGCCTGAAGCACAGGGACTTCCTCCACCACCCCCACCTCCTCCCCTGCCGCCTCCCGGCATCCGACCCTCCTCTCCTGTCACAGTTGCAGCCCTTTCTCACCCACCTCCTGTTCTTCACCCTCCTCCCACAACCGTTGTCCCCAGCCCTCATGCCCCTCTGATGCCTCCATCCCCCCCATCCCAAGTGGCTCCAGCTCCAGAACCCAAGCGCCATCCTTCCACTCTGCCCGTCATCAGCGATGCTCGGAGCGTCCTGCTGGAAGCCATCCGGAAAGGTAAGGCTGGCCTGGCTGCTCAGGGCCAGGAGGAGCAGCCTCACAAACCTGCCACACACCCACAGGAGCTCGGGGAGCTGGAGGGTTTCACGTGGCTTGGAAGTTAGTTTAGGAAAGTGCTTAAGTCGTTCTTCTCAGGGTGGTGCTTACCAGGTGTTGGCAAAACCGGGTCCCCGTGGAAGCTGGGTTTGGAAAAATGTGCTTGGAGATGGTCTGTGGAGATTATCTCCTGTTTACCTGAAGGTGCAGCTGTTTCTGATCACCTGCAGATTGTGTAGAAGACAGAAGTGGTGTTCACAGACTGTCAGGTAAAAGCAGGTCGGATCAGTCGGTGCTGGAACTGTCACCAGGTGTCAGTGCAGGACAGTGATGTGTCCATGACATTCAGAAGTCATTCCCTGGGACAGGACAGTGAGAGCAGCAGACAGGTTAGCTTACTCATTCAAAGTATTTTTAAGCATGCCCATGAATTGGTAACATCATTGAATCCAAAGAAGCATCAAGAGCAGTTGAGTACAACAGGAGGGCATGGACATGAGCAGAGTCAGCACGAACACCTCAGGAAGGAGACCCTGCTGGTCTGACCCAAGTGATTCCTGAAAAGGCTTTTGGCACCAAGTCGTGCACAAGAAACAAGGGCTGAAGTTACCACAGCCCAGATCCCACCTAAGGGCCTGTGTGCCTGTCAGTTGGCACCAGAGAGTGTTCAGTACAGGGTGTTGGGCATATTGAGGCTGTGCCAGCCCTGGTGTTCTCAGTGTAAAACCAGAATAGATCCTCTCTGTCACGTTTTTAACCAAGTTACTGGATTGAACTTCCTCATCCTATTGATGGGTGGTGTTTCCCCTTGGTGTTTGATCTTTAAGTAATACTGGATCCCAAACCAGCTCATCACGTGAGGTACAAGAAGTTCTCTATTGTTAGGAGACTGAAATAGCTACAACTTCTCATTGAGACTGTGAAGAGAGAGTATAAAAAGTGTTTGGAAATGCAAATAGAAAAATGGCTCAGTCATTTGCAGTGGTTCCAAAAACATGGGAGTGTTTTTAAGGGGAAATCAGAAGCAGGATCTAGCAGAAAGGGTGATGATCAGTCTGCTGTTGTGACTGTGACGTTCCTCTCTGTGAGGTTTGGCAGAGCTTCCATCTGAGGAGGACACTGTCCTCAGCCTTCATTCTCTCTTGCTAAGCATGGCTGCATTAAAATGAGTGTGCCCAGCAGGTCAGGGAGGTTCTCCTGCCCCTCTGCTCTGCCCTGGGGAGGCCTCCCCTGCAGCCCTGGGGGCAGGTCTGGGCTCCCCAGTTCCAGAAGGACAAGAACTACTGGGGAGAGCCCAGCACAGGGCACTGAGATGCTGAAGGGGCTGGAGCATCTGCCTGTGAGGAAAGGCTGGGAGAGCTGGGGCTGTTCAGCTGGAGAAAAGGAGGCTGAGGGGGGATCTGCTCAGTGCTGATCAATATCTGCAGGGGGTGTCAGGAGGATGGGCCAGACTGTGCTCAGGGGTGTCCAGGGACAGGACAAGGGGCAATGGGCACAAACTGGAGCCCAGGAGGTTGAAGCTGGAGATGAGGAACCCCTTCTTGGCTGTGAGGGTCCCAGAGCCCTGGGCCAGGCTGCCCAGGGAGGCTGTGGAGTCTCCATCCCTGCAGACATTCCAGCCCCACCTGGCTGTGTTCCTGTGGGATCTGCTCTAGGGGATCCTGCTCTGGCAGGGGTTGGACTGGGTGATCTCCAGAGCTCCCCGCCAACCCCACGGCTCGGTGAGGCCGCGCAGCCGTGAGCTGGGTGCTGGAGGAGCCACCCCCACGGTGCCCTGTGCTGCTCCCCCAGGCATCCAGCTGCGCAAGGTGGAGGAGCAGCGCGAGCAGGAGGCCAAGCACGAGCGCATCGAGAACGACGTGGCCACCATCCTGTCCCGCCGCATCGCCGTGGAGTACAGCGACTCCGAGGACGACTCCGAGTTCGACGGGGTGGATTGGCTGGAGTACCCCCCCCCCGCCTCTCTCCCTGGCTCTGCTCTGCCAGATCGAATGCTCTGGTGTCCATTGTGGTGCTTGTTCTCTGGAAATTTGATGGTCATTCCTCGTGGTTTTTGTAGCCTTTTCTTGACACGATTAATCCATGTTGGGTTTTTTTTTTCTACTTTTCGGTTTACAAGAAGCTCCTTGTGCATCTTTGAAACTAAATGTTCTCCAGTGGCTTTTCTTACACACCTTTCTTTGTTGTTTTTTTTTTTGAAGGAACATCCTTTGTTCCAATAGACCACTAAGTATTAAGCATGGGCAGCTGTTGGTAGAGTAGCAGTTCCAATTTTTTTTGGCATATCTTAACTGTGCACTTTGTGAATCTTAAGTTAATGAAGGCAACTGGGGTTGACATTCCAAGGGCAGCTGTGTGTGCTCATGAGCCTTATCCCACTTCTGAGGGTGTTGTAAAACATGCACCTCTCCAGATAATCACTGCCTCGAGTCCATCTGCACACTGCAAGTACATGTAGTCAGCAGCACTGAACACACTGAAAGCAAAACGGATCTTTGGGGGGTTTTATTCTTGTTTTATTGTTGTTTTTAAATAATTATGGCCTTATTTGAATGTTTAGAGATTCCCCTTCTTCCCTCCCAGGTACATATTGTGTGGTACTATTTTTGCCTGCATAATAGAAGTTTAATTTTTATTATTTTGGTTGGTTTTTTTTCCTTGTGGAATCTTTTTTGACTTAAACATGCTGTGTAACTTATGTAACTGTTAAAGATAACAGTTTGGTTTAATAAATGGTTCATTTTAAATGTTGCTGGTTGTTGGGTTTTCAATGAAGCCAGCTTCTCCCTGGTGTGCCTGAGGGATCCTTGGGTTCCAAAGATTTCATCTGTGGTCTGCAGAGCTACAGAAAATATTCTGCACTTGGTCTAAGGACCCACATTAAACAAGGAAACTTGTGGCATCAAGGGGGATCTGTGTGCACCTCTGCACACACACACAAAAGCTGGAATAGTGTGATCCACTAGTTAAGAAAAAAACAAACCAAAAAAAACCCCCCAAAAACCCCATAAAATGTGGAGCTTGTGGCTTGCATGATTTAGGTTGTGTTTTTTAAAAGGCATCACCATTAATGTATCTTAGGGGAGGAAGGGAGATGCAGCAGGGAATATCATGGGCAGTGAGAGCTGACAAAGAACATGGCTGAGGATGCAAGGCCATTTTTAGGTGCAGTTACAGGGCTTTTGTGTTTCCCTGCTCTGGAGTAAGTCCCTGCAGGTCTGAGCACACAGTCAGAAACCTGCTCAGAAGGGAAGCATGAGAGCCTGGGGGAGCACTCTGCCCTGGCAGGCTCATTCCTGGAGGATGGAATTGTAGAATAGAAGAAAACAAGTGTGGAAAGTCAGAATGAGATTTCTGAAGGTGGAGCATGAGATGTTCTCCAGGCTGCAGAACAGCTGAGAGAGGCAGGTGGTCACTAACCTGTTACTAGGACTGGGCAGAAGTCCTGAGGTGCAGACTGGGCTGGGAGTGCTGCACACAACCCTCCCAGCTCTGCTGGCACCATCCCAGCCACCCTGCCACACTCAAGGCTTTTTCCACTGCAGCAGCAACACCTTCATTGTGTTTGTGTGTGTGTGGGGGGAATCAGTGTCACCATTTGTGAATCTGCATCTCTACAAGCAGGGCTGCAGTTCTCCAAATGCTGTTCTCCTGGATAGTTGTTTTCACTATCACTGCATCTGGTTTATTCTGCCACTCTCTGTTAACTTTCAACATGCACATCCTTCTCAGTGGCTCAAGAAAAGATGTCAGAAGCACCACTGCATGAATATTTGTGGTCAATCCAGGTGCTTCCTTGGATCTAAGTAGTCCTGAATAGCCAAATTTTGCCCAGTTACTAGATGTGAGAAACCTCATGTACCCAGCTGAAAAGGATGGATCTCTTCAAGCAGAGCCACCCATGTGTGCTCACAGCCCAGAAAGGCAACCATGTCCTGGGCTGCACCAGAAGAGCCACAACCAGCAGGTTGGGAGGGGAGAGTCTGCCCCTCTGCTCTGCTGAGACCCCACCTGGAGCCCTGTGTCCAGTTCTGGAGCCCCCAGCACAGGAAGGACATGGAGCTGTTGGAGAGAGTCCAGAGGAGGCCACAGAGATGATCCTTGGGCTGGAGCAGCTCTGCTCTGGAGACAGGCTGGGAGAGTTGGGGTGTTCAGCCTGGAGAAGAGAAGGCTCCAGGGAGACCTTAGAGCAGCTTCCAGTGCCTGAAGGGGCTCCAGGAAAGCTGGGGAGGGGCTTGGGACAAGGGCAGGGAGGGAGAGGACAAGGGGGAATGGATGAAAACTGGAGGAGGGGAGATTGAGGTGAGACATGAGGAGGGAATTGTGGAGTGTGAGGGTGGTGAGAGCCTGGCCCAGGTTGCCCAGGGAAGCTGTGGCTGCCCCATCCCTGGCAGTGTTGAAGGGCAGGTTGGATGGGGCTTGGAGCAGCCTGGGCTGGGGGGAGGGGGCCCTGCCCATGCAGGGG